GTGGATTTGAAAGGAGTACAAAGGGGGTTTCATCTGTTTTTGTGACATTTTATTTATTTGAAAAAAATTTATTTTTGTAAACATACCCAAATAACAAAATTCGGGGTACATGGGTATTTGTTACAGTTTTCTGAGCATTTTCCCATATACTTAAAATATTTCATAATAAAAGTGTGGTTTATTGCTCTAATTCATCATAAGCAATGCCAAAAGACTGATAAACTGAAAAAATAGTTACAGCTCATATCACACAGTTTATTTTTCAATGATACAAAGAACTACAAATCCATATGAAAAAGACAACAATAAAAATATGAGCAAAGAATATTGATAGTTTACAGAAAAAGAAAAAAACATGTCTCTTACACATAAACAAGTCTCAAGCTCAGTCATAATAAGAAATGCAAATTAAGACTACGTTGAGACTCCATATTTTATATACCAGATTGGCAAGGTTAAAAAAATGTCTGCTAACTCACCATAGTAGTGAGAATGTGGAAAGACTGACAGCTATTTGTGGTAGCTCTTAAACACATTCTCTGTGTGGAGGAGCAATTAGTCAATATCTATCAAAATTACAAATGCATATACTTATATAAAGCAATTTTGTAGTTTATCCTACAGATGTACTTGCACACGTGCAAAATGATTTATAAGGTTATTTATTGCCAGTAGTGTAAACAACCTAAATGTCTATCACTAGAGGACTGGTTAAACAAATGGTGATACCTCTATACAATGAACTAAAATGCAGCTGTTAATAAAACAAACTTTTTATGTACTCATGTGGGATAATTGGCAAGATATATCAAGTGAAAAAAAAGCAAAGTGAAAAACAGTAAGCTTGAAATGCCACCATTGCATATGAATGTATACTTATTCCAAAGATAGGGGTTCAATTATGTAAGCCTATATTCCGGAGGAAGTGGAGTAGAAGCCTAACTACACTGTATTTTAATGGGAGGGTGGAGTGGAAGCTGAAGCCCATCTTGCTAATGGAATCCACGACAGGATTTGGAAGTTAGTAAGAATGAGAAGTGACTGAAAACAGGGGAATGGATGATAGATCTGTCTATGGAACAGCTGAGTCTGTTGCCTCCACCCCAACCCCAAATACATATAAGCAACCCAGCAAAAACTGAGAGGCTCTTTTATCAAGATATTTTGTCATAAGGATTGAGTCACATTGACCTGATAAATCAGAAGCATTAGCAGAGAGAGGGTGGGGGAGGGCAATAGGAGTATTCCCTGGGGGAAGGAGTATTTTATCACTGATATTATTTAGAATTGCTGATGTTTGGCGATAATAAATAGCAGAACAACTTCAAGTTGTTTATTATTATTTTTAGATTATCGACACTCCTTTATTGCCATGCCACGCAGTGTAGAAAGCTGTTCCCACCATCTTTGCCCTTGGTAGAGAATGACAAAGATATAAGAAAGATGTTCTCTTAGAACAAATGAATTAATATAATTTGAGACAGGGTATTTGATACAATAAATCGTGTCACGGATGCAAACTACTTTACAGTATTTTTAAACAAGTCAGTGGTAAAAAAAGAATCAGTTAAAGACCTATAGAAACCGGGGGGAAATGAGGAAAAAGAGAAGGAATGTAAATAAAAGGCAAATGAAGAGAATACACAATGAGAAACTTCACCAAAAGAAACACTGCGAGTATTTTAAATATCATGATGATATACAGATATTTTGAGTATCATGATGGCTCTTTATTTTTAAAAATTTACCTTTATTGTTGAAAGTATTACAGATGTCCCCTTT